TTTTCCAGTAAAGTCTGCTGGGGTGCCATGCCCTGCTCACAAAGTCCATTTTTGGGATTCCTCGGGGACTTTGTTGCTCTGCTCCCCTTGCTCCCCTTGCTCCTCTGTTGCATGCCCGTAGTGTTTCTTTCACCCCAGTGTGGCAGGGTCAGATTGGGCACAATTTGCACACTGTTTCCCGTGTTGTCCACTCATATTGCATATGCCGTGTTGGCACAAAACACTTAACCATTATGGTCCATAAATTTGAATAATAGTTGTATTGACTGGCTATCTTTATATGAGGATAGATAAAATCCTCTCACAGGCTGCATTGTGCTTCAAGATCTGTAAATGTCCTTCTTGAATCTGTCATTTCAGGCATAGTAAACTGTATGATTTCATTTGAAATGGCTAAATACCAGTCCATTTTAGCTCACTATTGTCTATAATATGAATCTTTATGAGTTTCATTTCATTTTTGATGACTTCCAGTTTTCCTAGTTTTCTATAGTACATATTCCTTGTTCTGATTATTAATTGATGTATGCGGCTATTTCTCTTCACTTTGAGTTGTGCTCCATCAGCAAATAAATGTCCTGAAGGCTTTACGCTCACAGGCTTTACTCCAGCCACATCATGTTACTCTGAGAAAGCTGCTCCTCCTCAGTCATATTTTAAGTGCCCTCTAACCTGAGGGGTTCATACTCTGACACCATTTCTGAGCATGCTCTACTTTATTCACCAGGTTCACAGGATCTGACAGTGTTTAGGTTCTACCCATGACGCTTTCAGTGGCTAATTCCTCTGAAGTGGGCAGCGCATTCCTTATTCAAAGCTCTCTCTTATCTGGAAGCTCTCCTGACTCATTCACTTTGGTGACCCTGTTGGTATTTGAAATACCAGTGACAGCTTCCAGCAATACAGCAACATAGAAGCCACCCAAATATGACAAACTGACAGACAAAGTGGTAGAATATGGGCAATGGTATACAAATATAACAATATAAAGGAGAGTTTCCAGTTATTTTATGTTAGCCCAAGGCTACCACATTTACCAGGGATAACTAATCTGCCTTGTGTTTATTCAAGTGCTAGAGTTGCAGAGTTCAAATTTTCTTGAGGACAATGTTTTTCTCAATACAGTATATCCATGCGGAATCCATTTGTAGAAAAAGCCTGAGGCCTTTTTTTCTTCCCAATAGGATATCATTTATTAAAATTACAGTTATTTTTTTCTAGAGAAGCAAGGCAAAATAACTATGTAAAGAAACGCATTGCACCACACTAGGATTTGTTCTTTTGGTCAGATTCCCTAACTAGTTGGACTACAGCTAGTTGAGATATTACTAGTTTTGATAACA